TCCTTACACATCAAAAAGTGACTATTGCGACCTTACTCTAAGGGCAAAATTGTAATTTCATTATTAAATAAATTAAATAGATTAAATATATGGGTAAAATTGGGTCGGGGTGTCACATCGCCCCTCTTCTTTTCCTCATTTCTCCTCTTCCCCCATTTTCAGAGACAAAAGGTTTTCCTATTTGTCTTTGTTTTGTTATGGTTTTTCTCCAACCATCACAGGTGACTGCATCTTGACGTTGGATCTCCACGTGCGTTTCGACGTCAGATCTCCACCACCATCCTTTTTGTGGTTTCTTTATGTTTGGAATAAGTCATAAAGACTCTTTGGGTTCTTTGTATAGTTTTCACCTCTCCTTTTGTGAGAGCTTTTCACCTCTCATTTGTGAGAGCTTTTCACCTATCCTTTGTGAGAATTTTTCATCTCTCATTTGTGAGAGTTTTATTTGTATTGTTATGGCTTGGTTTTTTCAAGCTTTAATATTTTTTTTATTATGAGTTTGCAATCTTAGTTGGGATGCCCATGCCAAAGTTTCTTCGATCCTGCATGATCGTTAGTGAAGGTGCACCAAAGTGTTTTAATAATTTTAATGTTAGATCACTTCGTTATTGTAATGACCCTTTGTGGCTAGTGGTTTTTTTGGCTGAACTATGAATACAATCCCAGAATTTCTCAAAGAAAAAAAAAAAACACTTCTAGGGTAATTGTTTGGGTTCAAATATAACAATATATCCAAATTTTAATCCAAATATGTAAAAATCAATAATCTCAGTCACTAAATCCATTTCCAAATTTTATACATTAACTGACAAGTTACGAAGGGACTCAAGGACTGATTCACCAAAAAAAAAAATTATTTTAAAATTTTTATTTATTTATAGATCAACTACATGAAACTTCCCAAGCTATGAAGTCAATGTTAAATTGGACATTATCTTTTAAAGGTTAAAAGTTCATACCTAAACTCAAAGGCCGGTTTGGTCATCATTTTGTTTTTAGTTTTGGTTTTGATTCCTTTAGTTAAAGATAGAAGAAAAATATATAACATCAAGGATGAAAGAGGGATGAGCAGGGGACGCCTTAGGAGCACTTTCACTTATTTGCTATATATAGCAAAATGTAAGGGCACTTATTGTTCATGTAAATAGTGTCTATCCTAGCAATTTTTTTGATGCATTCCCACCCATTGCCATGGCAACCTGAGATATGAGGAGAGAAATTTGTATGGAGTTTTGGTGTGGGAAGTGAAGAACATGGCTAGGCATTCATAGAAAAAAAAATGTCTAAAATTTTGGTACTTTTTCCTTTTTTTTTTCAATTATTTTTGTATTTAAATTGGCTGTTGACATCACACTATGAAATCAGTACTTAGGTGACGAGGGGTAAATTTAACGACATAAACAAGACACAACAACACAAAAATCTACACACACTTTAGACCTTGACCAAATACACATATGACTAGTCAACAGCTAGCCATGAACAACCACAATCAAGAGAACACACAGAGCATGCCACAAAGTACCTGCAATCCTAGAAGATTACTAGTGACAACTTAGGCACTCAGAAGGACCCGTCAATCTAGGCATCCCCTGTGCTAGCAACAACTGTGGTGAAAGTGTGTGAAATCATCATTATCAAGTAAACACCAAACAGCAGATAAAGATGACTAGTCAACCACCAAGAACACAACCCCAGAAAAATTTACAGATATGCAAAACAGAATTGGTTTACCCAGAAACCCACCATTGGGAAAAACTGGGAGTCATCAACCGACTAGGCAATCCACTAAGTAGAAAAAGATTCTTACAAAGGAAACACAACCAAGCTCAAAAAACACCTAGATCTATTTAGGAAGATGAGCTATACCTCATTCGTGCAATCTTCTTCTCCAACTTAGCAAAACTTGAAGCTCAGTTCTTCATGGCAATGGCAGCTCCTTCTCCAGCTTGTTCATCCCATGGCACTAGCTTGCAAGCTCCAACTCAGACCGAAACCAAAATTTGGATTCAAAGGAGAATGACCAATTTCTTCAAGAAACCATACTCTTGAAGAAATCAGTCTTGAATCTGATCTAGATATAAATGAGAGTGATTTAAGTAGCTAGATGCAGATTCGTGTTTCAAATGCAGTTTTTCAAAAAGAAATCAATTGGAAAAACTAATAGATGAAATATATGGTTCTTTCTTGAGGAAGAAGAAGAGAAAGATAGCAAGCCAATCTTTCCAAAACTTCCACACAAAAGAGACGGCTACCAAAAGAGGAATTCACTAGCCTTTACAGACAAAAATTCCCTTAGGTCAGAATGACACATGGCAGCAGAGAGAGAAAAGAGAATAGGACAAAACAATTGGTTAACCAGCTGGAAATCCTACAGAGCAAGGATGACTAGGCATGAGAGAAGCAGATGACTAGTCATCATTTATGAAAACAGTTTAATGCAATGATATGCAATGCATGATTTATCTTTGTCAAATTGCATGAGCCTCCATAGGATAAATGTTAGTTAAGAACACCTAGAGAAGCTATTCTTAATCTAAACTTGAGCTTGATAAAAACAATGAAAATCCTATTACAAAATTGTCAAGGGAAGCCAAAAGAAATAATCAAAATTCATACATTAACACACTAAGGTCATGAGGTCAGTTTGCCCAAGCAAGTCTTGCTTTTGGGCTTGGACTTGGTGGAGCCCACCTCTTGCCATGGGTGGATTTCATCGTTGGAATGAGTTTTGGGAGCCTAGGGGGCCTTTTGCCTAGGCTAGGCATGCCGCTGGAAGTGCTCTAAGCACAAGCAAGCATGGCGGCCGTTTAAGGTCTCCAATTTATATAAATCTATATAGTATGCCATTATAAAATATATATATATAAATTATGTTAAGCTCAGTTATTCACTCCAAAATTAAGAAGAGAGACCCACTTATTCATTAAATTCATAGTCCAAGCCAATTCACGTAGTTGAATAAAATAAAATAAAAACACATTGAGTCCAATTTCACATGTTCTTTCTCAATGATTTAATGAAGGCTGAAGTCCCAATTGTTTAACAAACATGGTGATTGATGATTTCTTTTCATTTTGAATTTCATGTTTTGTTTTATGGGAAATGAGTCTAGAATTTACAAATGTTCAGTTAATATTCACAATTTTGAAGAATCTTTTGGTGTATATGTAAGTAAATATGTATTATTGTATTAGAATTTGAGATTTGATAAAGAATTTAAGCAAAGTTTTGATAACTACAAGTCCTTTCCTTTATTAATTTGTCTAGCTAATCTCTCGCCTTTTCATTTTTGATAATAAGTATTCTAGATATCTCAAATCAAAGTTATTAACGTGATAGACTCCAATTTAAAAGTTTAGTTGTATTCAATTGAGAGTTTTAAAAAGTATTTAAAAGTTTTGAGGTATCCAAAATGTTAATGACTTTTAAAGACTTTGTTAAATAAATGACTTTTCAATACTTTTAAAGCTAATTCTTACTACCAAAAGTCTTGGTAATTTACACCAGACATTATATCGTATTGGGAAGCTAAGAAGATAGAAACAAAACGTCTCCAATTCTTTCCTCCCTCATTATATCAAACCAGCAAGCAGACAGATTTGTTTTCTTCAACTAAAGGGCTCAATTTTGGTATCCCATCTTGTCTCCACTTCCTCCAGGTTAGTAAAAAATCTTGAATGTTTTTCTTCTCTTTTCATCCACACGTTACTTTCCCTCTGTTGATGAATATTTCTTCTATTCTTTTCCTCATACTTGCATCATAAAGCTTATCAATATGTCATCACAAAGCTATGTTTGCATATAAATATTTTATAATATTGATTTTCTCATATGCTATGTTTGCATACAATATATTATTATATTATTTTTTGCCCCTAAACCTATTAATTTATTATTTAGGTACTATTTCTTTACCCATAATTCGTTAGGTGGATAATTTTTTCATATAATATTCTCAATTTGATCACGTATTGGGCTAGGAGAATTGCTAGAATATAGACTCTTGTAATCAAGAACAACAACGAGAGAATGCTAATGAATGGAGAGTTGGTATAGCTTCTGACATGTGGAGAAATGCCATGCAAGATAATAACGCAACTCAACGGTAATGAGTATTGGAATTTCAAAAGGAATTTGTATTATGTTTTATTCAACGTCATTGAAATGAATCATGGCTAAGCTGACTAAAAACAATGAATCATGGCTAAGCTCTTTTTAAAAAAAAAAAAACTGAATCATGGCTAGCTGAACGCCAATTATTTCCTTGTGGTACATTTTCTAATGCAGTTTGTCATTTTATAATTGTACTTTGTCATGTTTATCATTTTCTAATGTTAAGGAGAACTATTCTTTGCTTTTACGTAATTGTATCCAATTGTTTTTTTTTTTTTTTTCTAGTTTTTTGTTCCATGTATGCCGACTAGTTAATTCAACATATTAAAATATAAATGCTATTTGTAAAATAAATATAAAAATAAGTACTTAAAAGTCTATAAAACTCTATGACAAAAGTATATGAAAGTTTGTCACTTTAACTTTATAAAGTATGTAAAAGTCATTAAGAATCTGTCACTCACTTAAAAAACGTCTTCAATTCTAACTTTTAAAGATCTTTAACCTTAGTATTTATTGACACTCTAATATATATATAAAAAAAATCATGCGCTCCTTCCTTATATGAACAAAGGAACTGAACTTCGAGCAATGCATAATGATTTTTCTTTAGAGTGTCAATATTGACAACTCGCTTTATTTTTAGGTTATTTCATAAAATCGATATTGTGAGAGGGTAAATCGAACATAATACCGACCAAATATCTCAATCATTTGGACTACAAATTCCTTGGCCAACAACTCCCTTTATCTTATAAGAGACATGCAAATCATGTGCACATTGTGAGTGTTGTCAAACCGTCCAACGTTTGACGTAGTTGCCTTGTGGTGCATGCCATCAGGTCCACTTAGGGGGGTGTATTCAATTAGGTTTATATAAGATTTTGAAAGATTTTTTTTAAGTGACAGATTTCCTGGAATTGTATAACTCCTATAGGTTTTACCGGGATTTTTAATAAACTTGCATAAACTTTTATTATAGACTTCCATACTTTTATATGAACTTTTGTTAAAGATTCAGATCAATTTGCATAGACATTATCACTTTTGTTACAAGCCTGCTGAACCACGCTTGCAGCTTGGGCAGCTGTAGAAGCACCGGATACTTTCAAGAATGGACCCCACATGTTTTGGTTATATGATTCAAGTGCGTTGAAACCTGCGGAGGTGGCATTACTCCTCCCTGTATTAAATTTGTTTTTATTAGCTGTTTTATGCTTTGGAGTCTACAGCTGCTGTGAGGAATTCCATGCAGTGGCTGACTTGGAACCATTCATAGGTGGTGGAACTATTTCTACAGCAAGAAATGGTTCATGGCAATTGGGGCAAAGAAGATTATGATTAAGGTTCAGCTGAGAAGTGTGTCAAGGTTCAGCTGATTTCATGCAGAAGATTAGGCTAAATTCTTGGTTGAAAAAGGTGTTGAATTTTTTATTATATTATCACCGCCTCCATAGTCACCCAGCACAGTACACGCCCTTTGTATCCTATTCACCAACCCGATCAAGCTCTCCATCGTCGTCATTCAACCCCATTCACCAAACCTAATCAGTCTCTCGGCAAAACAAGAAAAGAAAAAACCTGAACAGCTTATCAGGTGAATTTTAATGCATGTTGATATACCATATATTTATTTCGTCATATATTTGGTAAGAGAAATTTGCATGCAACATAAGAATTAGAGGCAATTCTAATTCTACGGCTGCTGCCTCTGTGATCAAGACAGCTCTACCTTTCCTTTGCCAGGCCCCACCTTGGGGAACAACTCTTTCCCGCAACAAATTATTTTGAGATCACAATTTTATACGAACATTAACAAACAAGAAAAACCATGGAAGAACAAGGAAAACCAACAAGAATATTGAGAGAGCGTACCTTTGGAGGGTGGTTCGTCTACTGCAGAGAAAAAAAAAGAATATGTCGTCTGAAATCTTTGGGGTGGAGGTTGGACTTATGTTGGCCTTTATTATTTATACCTAAACCCTACAAATTCTCCAAACTCCAACACTTAATTAAATCCTTCTAAATCTATCTCCTTTTGAATACAGGTAAATTTAAATGGACTTTTTCCAAGTCCTAATTGAATACACCCACATTTAAATGGACATTTTAAAAGTTCAAACAAGTCTAGATTGAATACACCCAAACTGTTATAGACATTTTAAAAGTTTATATAAATCCAAATTGAATACACCCAGATTTTTAAAATCTTTTTAAATACTTTATAATCCTAATTGAATACACCCCCCTTAGAGAAATTTCGAGCATATACTGGGGAAGGAGACTTTTTATGTTTCAAATCAAATTCGCAAACAAGGGAAAGCGAAATTATTGCATTAACTTTTGTTTGGTTATGTATAGGACGGAAAGATGGGTGTGGCTGAGAAATTATAGAATGATACGGTAGTATCACGTGTCTATTTTAGAAAAGAAATGTAATTATCGTTTCACAGCTGGACTTTTTAGTTTAATTCTTAACTTTTGAAATAAAATTAGAAAAAAAAAAAAAAAAAAGAATTTCCTAACAGCCAACTATCTCCTAACCCAACAACCCTAATCCCAACTACCTGCTATTACGGCCACCCCTCTCCTTCCACTATCTTCACCCCTTATACTAATTGTAGGCGGTTTCAGGATTCAAAAGCCGATTGGGCAAAACTTACATACTAAATTCCACAGCACGATGAATTTCATTAATAAACATAAAAAGATACACATAGTCGGGGGAACATAATGAGCCTTACCTTCAAATGCATCTCTATCTATAAATAAAAGTTCAACAAATACAAAAGCAAAACTAAAACAAAAAGTAAATATAATGCAATACAAAACAACACTATTCAAATTCGTTGTTCTCTTGGGATTCCGATTGTGATCCGACATAATAAAAGATAGCCTATGAATAATATGTAAAAAGAATTTTAATCAAGCATACCAACAAAAAATCAAACAAATTCTCATAATAACATCTCAACAATACCAAACCAAAAATTATAATTCATCCATAATTAAACACTAAAATACTCAATTTTAACAAAATCCCAAATCAAAGCCCTAGAATAATTCAGCCCTAAACCTAGCCAAAAGAGAAGGAGAGAGAATATAAGGGACAACCTAGATAGGCAACATATGTGTAGCGTATGCTTTTAATTTTTATTATTATTTTAAGATGAACTTATAACACATGTAGGTATTTTTTATTTGAAAAAATTTGGGCTGGGCAGGCACCCAGCCTGCCCTGTGCATTGTAGACAGGGGGTTTTAGAGGAAGGAGGATTAAATTGGTATTGATGATGATGAAATGGGGTAGTCTTGATAATTAAAAATTGGTTCGTTCTTGAGGGTCTAGATCTGGGTCTGAAAATATTCCAAGGTGGCAGTGGATTGAAGCTGGTGGTGGAATTAACATTGTGTAGAGTGTCATGAGGGAATTTAGAAGAAAAAAAATATCTGTAGGGGAATTAAGGAAGATGATGATATTGGGTTTGGATGTTGATGGTCTTCATGAGGGGCGGCGATGGCAGTGGTGAATAGAAAGAGAGAGGGGAGGAAGAGGAAGAGGATGAGAAAAGGGTGGCTCCCATGGTTTTTATTCGTTTAAGTTTTCTTTTTTCTAATTTTATTTCAAAAGTTAAGAATTAATAAAGTAAAAAGTCTAGTTGTAAAATAATAATTAATTTCTTTTATAAAATGGACACATGGCCATATTTGAGTGGGAGTACTATATGCTGACGTTGTAGTACCGTATCATTCTATAATTTCTCGTGTGGCTGGTCTTGGTGGTCGGTGTGGTGTAGGGATGGCAATGGGTCAAATCGGGGGTGGGTATGCCATTCCCATCCCCATCCCCATTAAGCTTTTTTCCCCCATCCCCACATTCATATCCGTAATATTCTAAGCGGGGATTCTCCATCCCTGCCTTCATTGGGGAACGGGTTCCCCTACCCCATTAGTAAAGAAAAACCAATAAAAAAATACTTTGTTGAACGAGAAAAAAAACGTTATAAGCGCAAACATATGTATCAATTCAATTGTTATTATCTAAAAATCTGGACTATATAAAACAATTAATACATATCAAAATTACATGTCCAAGACATGTTCATCATTATAGAGGTAGTCATCACACATCTCAATCACACAAAGTGATGCTTTCAACTTCTTCAGTGTAAGATCCCTGACACAAATAAAACAAAATATAAATTTTACAGTCATGTAGGGTAAGATATTAAACATCATTATCAATTATATAATATAATTCGTATTTTACCTCATTCTCAACATCATTATCAGATGTGCAGCCCTGGGACAATGCTATAGAGTTTGAACCTATTCACAATAAATGTGAATAAATACTAAGTAACAATTACATTTAATAGTAAATTTATATAACATATTTTCAATACCTTTTATCTCATTCCATAGCCAATCTCGAGCACACATCAAGGCCTCCACAATTTTTAAATGAAGTCGATTACACTGTGGTGTGGGTGGCATTTTTATTTTATTGTTTGAAATTTTTTTTTTTTGGGTTACATTGAGAGGAAAGAAACTCTAGAGTTTCGATATTGGGTGCCAAGCAAAAAGGAAGGAGGAGGGCCACAACCAATGTGGAAACCTTGCTCGACAATTTTATTGTTCATGATTTGTTTAATATCCACACATGGCCAACGGGAATCTAGTTTAGACCATTGGTTTGAATATCGAACCCCCATGGCACTTTGGTATTGTGTCACATATATATATTGGTGGTAAACACAAGAACAATAGAATTAGGTTAACATAATGTTCTGTTTTTGAAAATCTCTTCCCACTGTGAATTTCAATTACATTATACGTATGGAATTTTAGGTTGAAGGACTTGCAAGGATTTTTATTGAGTCCAATGTTAAAAGCTTTCGCTTTTTTCGGGTTTAGAGAAGAATACAAATAAACTAAAAGTAATAATAATATTTTCCTAATGATTTGTAGTTGATGTTGGCCATATAGGTTTTTTTTCTTCTTCAAAAACCTTTTGCCAAAGGCGATAAAAAAAAGACAGCAGACTTTGCTAGTGAGCCAAACTTTTTGTTATGGGCCACATAGATATAGGTTTATTATCATTTTTTTTCTTCAAAACTTACCTAGACTACAACCCACCACAACCTTTGATTATATTCACAGCTAACAACAATGGCAGATCCGGGATTCGAAAGCCGGCCAGATGAAATTTACATTGAAAATTCGACAGTACTAGTGAATTCCATTAATAAACATATAAAAATACACCTAGTCAATAGACGTAATGAGCATTACTCTTAAATTCATCTTTATACATAAATAAAAGCTTATGAAAAATAAAATGAAAAACAACAAGTAAATGCAATGCAACACAAAAATAATAGCATAAGCTTACCCACAAATATTAATATATCATCAACAGATAACCAAAACTCATACTATACAACTCATTTTCAAATCCTAAAAATTCATAATAAGAAGACTAAAAACCCAATTCATAAAGAGAGAGAGAGAGAAAACCCAATTCATAGAGAGAGAGAGAGAGAGAGAGAGAGAGAGAGAGAATTCTATAATGAGGGCCTTATAAGGCCCTTAGGTGAGGCCTTATCTCTTAATCCTTGGATCAAATTGATTAGCTTGATCCAATGGTTAAGAGATAGGACATTACCTAAGGGCTATATATAAGGCCCTCACTATAGAATGACCCAGAGAGAGAAAATTCACAAAATGGGATTGGCAACTGCATGGCCTACCCTCCACGTAGGTCCGCCCATGGCTAACAAGTGCTACAATAACTCGAAATAATCCAGAAGCCATGTGATGAACAAGTAAAGAATCAAAGGTCAACCTGCAGATGCATGACATAATCACCTATTCACATATGACATAGTAGGTGACGAAAACCAATATTGCAACTTCCATGGATGAGATGGGCTTGAGGAACAATCCAGGAAGTGAAAATGCTAGCCAAACATTAAGCCCTTTGCATGTAAAACCGGGAAGCTTGACAAATGGTCAAACAGAGCTCTCTGCCATTCATCTAAACATGAACAAGACAACGTTGAAAAATAGAAAAAATGACTCCATCTATTGAATCTCGGTGCATTATTCACATGAAGAGTGTCATTGTTGCGGCCCTTGTGTTGCATGCCATTGCCTAACATGAACATCAAGGTCGGCCAAGGTCGGCCAGCCAGAGGACTTTTTGCCGAAATATAGATAGGGAAAAAAATGGGCAAACTCTACTATAGGGGAGGAGATTTTTTGTGTCTCAACCTCCTAATATTTCAATTTATTCATTAATTACGCACCTTTCTGTGGTTGTGCCTATGGCCTAAAAAAATTTATGACGTAAAACGACATAATGGCTAAAAATACATAGTTGTAGGGTATACCACCAAACGACTTGTCAAGGTTAGTTGTAGGGTATACCACCAACCTACTGACTTATCCAATATTGAAAGAGATTATAGTGAGATAACAAATGCTACAATAACTCGAAATAATCCAGAAGCCATGTGATGAACAAGTAAAGAATCAAAGGTCAACCTGCAGATGCATGACATAATCACCTATTCACATATGACATAGCAGGTGACGAAATATGACATAGTAGGTGACGAAAACCAATATTGCAACTTCCATGGATGAGATGGGCTTGAGGAACAATCCAGGAAGTGAAAATGCTAGCCAGCCAGGGAAGAACATGAAGCCCTTTGCATGTAAAACCAGGGAGCTTGACAATTGGTCAAACAGAGCTCTGCCATTCATCTAAACATGAACAAGACACCGTTGAAAAATAGAAAAATGACTCCATCTATTGAATCTCGGTGCAGTATTCACATGAAGAGTGTCATTGTAATGATTGCCAAGGAAATGCCAACGGGGTCTAGGCCAGTAGAAAGTCTCAAATTTGAATCTCCATCGCACTTCGGCTAAAACAAAAAGTTATTAGGAAATAAGGCATCTCTAGGAGTGCTCATTTTTTTCGGGAAGCCTTGACTGAATTTACTTTTTAAAGTAAATTTTTTAATGCTATTCTTTTTTTTTTTTTTTTTTTTTTGGTAATTGGAACAAGGACCGGTGCAATTAAGAACTGGACCCATACAGGTACCGTAAATCATGTGAGATATTGTTGTGAGGTTGCCAAATTTTGATGCATGGTTGTTGTAACTTGTTGCGGCTCTTGTGTTGCATGCCATTGCCTAACATGAACATCAAGGTCGGCCAGCCAGAGGACTTTTTGCCGAAATATAGATAGGGAAAAAATGGGACATTAAATGGGCAAACTCTACTATAGGGGAGAAGTATTTTTTGTGTCTCAACCACCTAAAATTTCAATTTATTCATTAATTACTCACCTTTCTGCGGTTGTACCTATGGCCTAAAAAAATTTATGACGTAAAACGACATATTGGCTACAAATACATAGTTGTAGGGTATACCACCAAACGACTTGTCAAGGTTAGTTGTAGGGTATACCACCATATTGAAAGAGATTGTAGTGAGATATTGTGAGGTTGCAAATTTGAGTGTATATAGATCCAAACTGCTTCTTTAATTTTGTCATTTTCACCACAATTTGACTGGCGATTTTGTTTTGACTTTTATTGACCCTTGGTTTCTCTTTCACGAGAAGATTTGTACTATTTTTTTGGGTTTCTCCTTTACGAGAAGCTTTGTACTTTTTTTTGGGGTTTCTCTTTCACGAGAAGTTTTGTTTGTTTGTTTGTTTTTTTTTTTTTTTACACAAGTGATCAATTAGGGAGGGAGGGAGGGAGGGAGGGATTGAAAGTGTATAAATAACTGCTATTAATTATTTGACTTATCCTTGCTACTTATGAGAACTTAATTAATAGAATCGTAAGAAGTTATGTCTCCGCCAACCACTAATGATAGAGTAGTGGCCACATACATTTAATTAGCAATATAGCAATTTGGTTTTTTCATCCTACCATGCTCATACGTTTTCAAACTTGATTTTTCTTCATTACAATGGAGATGTATGATAATGTTATTGATGCAGATAAGGAGACATTAAAGTTTTATGGTGCATTTGGCTTTTAATAAGTTCCATGAATTTGGAATAGTTTGTGTTTAATAAATTCCATTTATTTGGAATACTTAGAGTTCTCAATGTATCTAGATGAATGGGGTTCATTAATTTGGGTACTAGTTCAATGTATGGGGTGAGAGATTAAGATTTTAAATACTTGTAGACATAGACTTCTCAAATCAGTTGTTGAGAATTGAAATTGAAAACAAAGAGAAGTGTTCCCTTAACTTTGCTCATAATCTTGGTATTCTTAAAATTAACGGGTTTGAGTATTTTATCCTATCTTTTATGCCAAGTTTGGGATATTCTTAGACTAAACGGGGTTTGGTGGTTTGTGGTTCATGTTTTTCAACATCCTTGCTCGAGTGCCGCTGCATCAGTTATGTTGTGAAATAATCTGATATGTTATATTGTCAAATTATCAATGTGCACAATTAGAATCCAACTGGAAATTTATTGAAATACACAGTTTGGCAAGGGATCAATATTTTGTAAATGACTGTAGCATTATTAATGGTTTGACTGAAAATATTTTGGTTTTTTGTGCTTTTAGTGAATGTACAATAACAATAGGTAAAGGACATATGAAAAGGAAAGGAAAATCCGAAGTATTTCCGTGATTCCGCGCCAAGTTGGAGTTCACATGAAACAAAAAGGAAAATCAATACGACATTGAACACATGTTTTGCACGTGAAATGACCAAACATTTCTGAACAGGCGAAGTTTCCTCGAGAAAAACTTATCTCCACTGGGATAGCTCAAGGAGGGACCTAGGATTTCAAAATAGGGTGGGTTAGTTTACTTTACCGGACTGTTAGAGTTTAGGCTCGGCTAAACCCTTATAAGGAGGCTGATGTAATTGATCATAAATATGTAAATTTAATTTAAGAATATATCATTTTTATTTTATTCATTAGGTTTATTTGACACCAATAATGCCAACAACAATTGATTATATATGCTTAGCATTAACACTAACTATAAGAAAAGAATAAAACTCACCTGGGCTATAGCCCAGGTTGTACATGCTATAGGTCCGTGCCCAATGGATGGTTATTGATTGGCACGTGTGAAAGTTTTTAAAAACACAAAAACAAAAAAACAAAACAAAACTTTCCTACATGGCAATGGAATTTTCCGACATGGCGACGCAGGATAGGCTTGGGTACCACCATGTTGGGATCTCGTTACATGTAAGTTCTTCTCAGTTTCCTCACGACATGCATTAATTGCTTCTCTCTCCTCCAAGGTGTCAAATTTTGGACAGTGGAGATCATTTCTTTGAGCAAATTTCAGATTGTTGTTTAAATTGAACACGGTTCACATTCAAGTAGTTTTGGAAATGAGATTTGACTTTCTTTTTTTGTGTATTTATTGTTTTCATATATGCTTTTACAGTATAAATTGTATTGCACTGTCGTGAAGAAAGCAAACAGAGCAAAACCAACACTTGTTTTTCTAGTGGGGTTTGGCTACAAGTTTTCCAAGGGCCAATTTCTGTTCTTTTCTTCTGAATTCAAAATCTTGGCTCCATCGGTGAAAGTTAGAGCTTCTGTGCTTAACTTGGTGGGTTTTTGATGAAATGGAGGGTGGTGAGATTTACAGAGCTGGCAACAGTCTCCAATTAGGCAGTTCTATGAGATGGAGGAACAATGGTGTGGAAGTTTTTTCGAGGTCTTCACGTGAAGAAGACGACGAAGCAGCTCTTAAATGGGCAGCACTGCAGAAGCTTCCTACTTATAATCGTTTGAGAAAAGGTATACTGACTTCGCCGGCTGGCGAGGCTAATGAAGTTGATATACCAAATCTTGACTTTCAAGAAAGAAAGGAATTGATTGAGAGGTTTCTGAAAGGCGCTGAAGAGGACAATGAGAGGTTCTTGTTGAAGCTCAAGAATCGTATCCATAGGTAATAAGAAAGCTATGAAAACAAACAGGTTTACTGTGTTCTTCTCATAAAAATTCAGTTCAGCTATAAAAAGAATTATTCTTTGTAGGTTCAGGAACATAGATAAACCAACATGCTTTATGTCTTTTTGGTTTGCATTTATTGTTTGAGTTCATTTTGGTGTAAGTGGCTTTCCGACCAAAAAAAAAGAAGATAAACCAACATGAGGGAAAGATGTTCCAATTCCAGTTACAACCTCCTAAAAAAATCCAAATTTACGATGAAATTCCAGTGTTGGATTATTTAGTAGTGGAAAAAAACTGTGTGATCAGATCAAACGTTTGTTTTATGCTTTTTAATTGAACGTTCTTTGATGGGTTGTTTCTGTTTCTTGAATATTCTCAGAGTTGGAATTGATCTTCCAACAATTGAAGTTCGATACGAGCATCTGAAGGTAGAAGCCGAAGCTTATGTAGGAAGCAGGGCTTTGCCTACACTCTTTAACTTCATCGTTAACATACTCGAGGTAATGATGCAGCAGAAGTTTATGTAGGAAGAAGCTCTGCACGCACAGAGGTTGATGTTTTTGGTTTAATAATTTTTCAGTGATATTGTCCTCAAAGTTTAATCAGCTTTTGCCATTGATTTTGAAGGGCATCTTGAATCGTCTCCATATTTTTTCAAATAGGAAGAAAAATTTGTCTATCCTCCACAGTGTTAGTGGAATCATAAAGCCTCGCAGGTGAGCAAAGGGCTAGTTTGTCTTCTTTTACCTTCCTCACTTTTAGAAGAAAAAAAGAAAATGATATTCATTTGTTTTGTGTTCTTCTTTTAGAATGACATTGCTATTGGGTCCTCCAAGTTCTGGCAAGACCACACTGTTATTGGCTTTGGCAGGAAAGCTTGATCCAGATCTAAAGGTGCAAAGGAATCTCATTAATACCTTTAAATCTTTCTCTAATTGGTTTTCGGAAAAATCTGAATGATCTTGTAACTAATTTGAAGACCAAATGTTATGCCTCAGCTTTCTGGAAGGGTGACTTATAATGGCCATGAAATGAATGAATTTGTACCCCAAAAAACTGCTGCCTACATCAGTCAACATGATCTTCATGTTGGAGAAATGACTGTAAGGGAAACCTTGGCCTTTTCTGCAAGATGCCAAGGGGTTGGAACACGCTATGGTTAGCTCATTCGTGGAACTGTTTTTCTTTTCATTCCATATCTATTTTTGGGGTACACAAAAGGATTTAGATATATGTAAATGATTCGTTTTCATTTTGGTCATCTGTAGATATGCTTTCAGAGTTGTGCAGAAGAGAGAAAGCTGCTAATATCAAGCCTGATCCAGACATTGATGTCTTCATGAAGGTGAGAAAAAAAAGCTACTGTCCATTGTTGAACACACACACACAGAGGCAGAGTGTATAGCATGGACTTGGTTATTTTGTGAGAAGAACATGAATTTAACTTCTCTGAAATGATAGGTATTACATAGAAACACTAACTTTCAGGATTCATGAGATTCTGTTTTCCCCAACCTTCCCTTCTGGTGGAAATTATGCCATGAAAACTTTACAGTAACTGAAAGTTATAATTTTGCTTTCTTGCTTCATATTACCTAAGTGAATAAATTTATTGACTTTTTTCGAGTCAAGAATACTTACTTTATTGGCTTCTGATATTGTAGGCCATAGCAACCGAAGGGCAGGAGGTGAATGTAGTGACAGATTACATTCTAAAGGTAAAAAACACCGAGAACTTTACCTTTGATCATAAGAGTCCTTTCAGAAAGCACTAGACAATTTTCTAAACTCAGTTATATCTAAGTCATTTTTATTAATAGATTCTTGGACTAGAAGTCTGTGCTGATACCATAGTAGGGGATGAAATGTTAAGAGGCATCTCTGGAGGACAAAGAAAGCGTGTTACAACAGGTAAAGAAATTCAACAACCAATGTAATGCACATCATCAAATTGTTCTTGTCTGCACACATTTCTAGTTTTTAGTATTTTAAAAATTTTATGTACAGGTGAGATGCTTGTTGGACCAGCAAACGCATTGTTCATGGACGAGATATCAACTGGTTTGGATAGCTCGACAACATTTCAAATTGTGAATTCCATCAAGCAATACGTTCACATTCTTAATGGAACGGTTGTCATCTCACTCCTCCAGCCAGCACCAGAGACTTATGAGCTCTTTGATGATATTATCCTCCTTTCGGATGGCCAGATTGTGTACCAGGGATCTCGTGAACACGTGCTTGAGTTTTTTGAATCTATGGGTTTTAAATGTCCCGAGAGGAAAGGCATTGCTGACTTCCTACAAGAGGTAGCTAGGTGTATTTATATAATTTTCTGTTCTCTCCTATTTATCATAGATTGGTGTAGTACATGATGAAAATTTCATGTGGAGTGACCTATCTCATTCTATGCATCATTAAAATTTGCCATAGGTGACATCAAGGAAAGATCAGGAGCAGTATTGGGCATGCAAAGATGAGCCTTATAGATTCATTACAGTCAAGGAATTTAACGAGGCATTCCAATCATTCCATGCGGGACAGAAAATAGGAGATGAACTGTCAGTTCCATTTGACAAGAGTAAAAACCACCCAGCAGCCTTGACAACCAAGGAGTATGGTCTTAAAAAGGGAGAACTGTTGAAAGCTTGCTTTTCAAGAGAATATTTGCTAGCAAAGAGGAATGCCTTTGTCTACATCTTCAAGCTGATCCAAGTAAGTTATAATTATATATATTTTAGTTCTTGATTTAATATTTTGGACAGAAGTTTTATAATTTGTAATAATCCTTTTTCCTGCTTCTAGCTGACAGTTGTGGCTCTGATTTCCATGACACTCTTCCTACGAACCAAGATGCCCCGTGATTCAGTAAATGATGGAGGAGTTTACGCTGGCGCTTTGTTCTTCACCATGATCATGGTTATGTTTAATGGGATGTCAGAGCTTCCCATGACCATCATAAAGCTTCCTGTATTTTATAAGCAAAGGGACCTCTTCTTCTACCCTGCATGGACATATGCTCTTCCAACATGGATTCTCAAGATCCCAATAACAATTGTAGAAGTAGCACTTTGGGTGTTCACTACCTACTATGTGATTGGATTTGATCCAAGTATAGAACGGTAAACGAGTAAAAACATCATAACTCACATGTTTGTCATGCATACCAATCCTTGATGCATGGTTTTTTGCACATGCTGCAGGTTGCTTAGGCAATATATACTGCTGATACTTGTTAGCCAGATGGCTTCTGCATTATTCCGTTTAATTGCAGCAGCGTGTAGGAACTTGGTTCTTGCTAACACCTTGGGTTCATTCGCATTGCTCATAATGTTTACATTGGGTGGCTTCGTGCTTTCTAGAGGTACCAGCAATGTTAAGACATAATTTATTCATGGGAAAGACTTTCTTCTCATAATTTCATTGCAGCTAATATGATGCTTCTGGCATTCCTTAATTTCACAGATAATATTAGAAAGTGGTGGAAATGGGGTTACTGGATTTCGCCTATGATGTACGGTCAGAATGCAGTAGTAGTTAATGAATTACTTGGGAAGAATTGGAGACATGTAATTTATTGAAAATCATCTTGTATTTGTTTCTTCAAAATCATTTATATAATTTTGTGTTTCTTTCTTCAAACTCATCTGATGTGTGAATTTACTTTCCTATAAAAGGTACTCCCAAACTCGACAGTGTCTCTAGGAGTTGAAGTTTTAAAGTCTCGTGGGTTCTTTCCACATGCATACTGGTATTGGATAGGTGTTGGGGCAATGGCTGGATTTGTATTACTATTCAACAGTTGCTACATTGTAGCTCTCTCCTACCTAAACCGTGGGTATATCTACCTTATACATCCACTTAAACATTTTACAAATTGAGTTATCTACTAATGTACCAAAAACTTATTATGCAGCACTGGGGAAGCCTCAGGCTGTTAGATCAGAAGATTCCCAAAGCAATGAAAATGATGGCAGAACCGAGAGAATGGGCATATTACCACGCAATCAAAATAGCTCAAGTGAACGTTCCAAGACAGGTGCTAAATCTCATCCATAATGTGCACCGAGCACCTCCAAAGGTTGTCTGTGTTTTTGTACTTCTTATGTTACTGCCCTTAGGTGACAACTAATTTTAATTGGCATGCAGAGAGTAAGGGTCAAAATAGGACAGAAGTTTCTCTCCAGACTATTCATAACACGAAAAGAGGGATGGTTCTTCCATTTGAACCCCATTCCATCACCTTTGATGAAATTATTTACTCAGTTGACATGCCACAGGTAACTTCAAACCAAAAATGAGTACAATTCCAAAAGTTTCATTCCGAAATCAAATACACTGTTTTAGTTTGTTTTGTTAGGTTACTTCCAAAACAACTATATCCAACAAAGTATGAAACTGCAGGAAATGAAGATCCAAGGTGTCATGCAGGACAAATTAGTGCTTCTGAAGGGTGTGAGTGGTGCTTTCAGGCCAGGTGTTTTAACAGCTTTGATGGGAGTAAGTGGTGCTGGTAAAACCACTCTCATGGATGTACTGGCGGGTAGGAAAACTGGTGGATATATTGAAGGGGACATCAAAATTTCGGGCTACCCAAAGAAGCAAGAAACCTTTGCCCGGATTTCTGGATACTGTGAGCAAAATGACATCCATTCCCCTCATGTAACTGTCCATGAGTCTTTGATCTACTCGGCATGGCTTCGTTTGCCACCGGAAGTCAAGTCCGAAACCAGAAAGGTCAGTATGATAATATCTAAAACCAGAATCTGTTTCAGGGTTTATGATTTGTGAACAATCCAAAACAAGTCAAAATTGGGTTGTCAAATTCACCTTATTCATTTTTCCTAACATTAAACTTCCGGTAATCACATGCCAAGGTATGTAAAAAGAACTGTGCAAATCATGTAGTAAATCTGAAAAAGAAATATGAATAAAAGCAAATATAGCAAATATAAAAAAGCAAACACAACTTTATGTGATTCAAAAAACTTGCTATGTCTAGGGCGGACATGATACAAAAGTAGGCCTAATAGGAGAAAATCACAAATGGCCTTTTCTTGATTTTCTATATCAATGGAAAGAAGCCTTCTATAGAAAGTATGCAACTTGATCATAAGTGGCTTGCAAATTTACTTGGCTATCATGATTTTAATTTCTAATTCTGAAATTCTTCTAAAGATGTTCATTGAGGAAGTGATGGAACTTGTGGAACTCACCTCATTGAGGCAAGCACTTGTTGGGCTGCCTGGAGTGAATGGCCTCTCAACTGAGCAGCGCAAAAGGCTAACCATTGCCGTTGAGCTAGTAGCGAACCCCTCGATAATATTCATGGATGAGCCAACTTCAGGGTTGGATGCAAGAGCTGCTGCAATTGTCATGAGAACAGTTAGGAACACAGTGGATACTGGCAGAACAGTTGTTTGCACCATCCACCAGCCCAGCATTGACATATTTGAAGGTTTTGATGAGGTGAGAAATGTTAATTGATTGGAATCTAGAGGTTGTTTTAGGTTCTTTCTCATATAAATATGCATGATGAATAAGAATGTGGTTGCAGCTACTCCTACTGAAGCGTGGAGGAGAAGAAATATATGTAGGGCCATTGGGTCGTCACTCTTTCCATCTAATTAAGTATTTTGAGGTAGGATGTCATGAACCACATATCAAGATGGATTTGGGACTACTTGTCTTTTTCGTGCTTGGATCGTGTTTATGTCTAAAACTATGTCGTTCCGGATTTATATTGAAAAGTAACTACAAACATAGTTTTAAAAATAAGAACTATATAAGCACCAAAAATACAAGTAGAGGATCCTATTTCCATAAATATATCCAACATTGAATGTTTTTTATTCTTCCTTCACTTATATTATACATGGTTTACCGTGAATTAACATTATTTTCTTTGAATCAAGGGAATCGAAGGAATAAGTAAAATAAAAGATGGTTATAATCCAGCGACTTGGATGTTGGAAGTTACAACATCAGCACAGGAATTAGATTTGAAGATTGATTTTGCCCAAGTTTACAAAACTTCTGAGCTATACAGGTCTGTTACTTGATATGTCACTGCTACATTGTAAGATAGCTTACACCTATAAAGGAAAAAACGCTGAAACATCCCTTCCCATGTTTATTTATCTTACATCAGTAGCTGAAATCTTTGCCTGGCATAATATGGTTCAGGAGAAACAAGCAACTTATTAAAGACTTCAGCACACCTGCTCCTTCTTCAAAGGACCTCTATTTCCCTACTCAATACACGCAATCGTTTCTGACCCAAACCATTGCTTGCTTATGGAAACAACATTGGTCATATTGGCGCAATCCATTATACACAGCTGTAAAATTTCTCTTCACAATTGTCATAGCACTGATGTTTGGGACGATTTTCTGGAAACTCGGCTCCAAAACGTAAGTAAGGACATGGAAACAAAGAATTGAGTTGGTGAAACTCATCAGGATTATTATTATTTTATTTTTCACTTTTCCTGTATTGAAATTTACTCTGTAATATGAGATGCAGGAAAAGGCAACAAGATCTGTTCAATGCAATGGGATCTATGTATACTGCTGTTCTCTTCCTTGGGGTCCAAAACGCTACATCTGTGCAGCCTGTAGTTGCTGTTGAAAGAACTGTCTTCTACAGAGAAAAGGCTGCAGGGATGTATTCAGCCTTGCCATATGCATTTGCACAGGTGAAATGATTCTTGGATTGTCAACTGTTTCAATGACCAAATTTAATTCTCTCTCTCTCTCTCTCTCTCTCTCTCTCTCTCTCTCTCTCTCTATATATATATATATATATATATATATATATACACATATATACATGTATTATTCAACTTCTTTCTTGTCACAGGTTTTGATTGAGCTTCCATATATTTTAGTACAAGCTGTGGTCTATGGAGTCATAACTTATACGTTGATCGGATTTAAGATGACTCTGGTCAAATTCTTTTGGTATCTATTCTTTATGTACTTCACATTGTTGTACTTCACACTTTATGGCATGATGACTGTGGCTGTGACACCAAACCATCACATTGCTTCTATTGTTTCCTCTGCATTTTATGGAATATGGAACCTCTTTTCAGGATTCATTGTCCCACGACCGGTAAGTGTTGCTTAATTAGTGTTCTGGATTAGAATAAGTTTTCAGCATATAAATACCCAAATTACTAATTGTTCCTTTTGTCAATTTTATATTACTACCTGGCCACGAACAGAGGATTCCTATATGGTGGAGATGGTATTACTGGGCATGTCCTGTGGCTTGGACGTTGTATGGATTGGTTGCATCACAGTTTGGCGATCTAAACCATGTGCTCGACAATGGTGAAACTGTCAAACAATTTTTGGATGATTACTTTGGTTTCAAGCATGATTTTGTGGGAGTGGTTGCAGCTGTGCATGTTGGGATTACAGTGCTCTTTGGATTCATCTTTGCCTTCTCTATTAGGGCGTTTAATTTCCAAACTCGATAGATGTTTCTTTTTGTTATTTGTAAATGACAAATTTAGACTGCTAAAACAAGAAACCTATCGAGTCATTGTAATTCCTTGTCGAACAAGAACTTAGCAAGTCATTGTAGGAACTAAGTACCATGCTCAATGGTTTAAGGTTTCTTAATTTTCAGCAACCCCTGAAATATAGAAAACTTATGCAGAAATCAGGCCAAACCAAGAAAAGCAAAACCTAGTCATCTATTTGGACCAGCAATGGCAACCAATGTCTCAGTACACAAAGCATGCTTTGGTAAGTACTTGTAAGGGTTAGGATTTTTGCACTGAGTTTTGCAGCTTTGCTTAAGCCATATGTATAAATGTGAAATTTGATTGGTATGCCAAATATTGGATAATTATGTCTCAAATTTGTTGCCAAAATTTTATAAAGTTTTTACATTTTAGTTAGTATGTTTGGGGTTTTTCTTTCGTGTGCACCAAACATTGAAATCATCTCAAACCTAGCCAAAATGGATTCCACATGTTCTTTTGATTTGCTTGTGCCAGAAAATAAATTTTACGTATTGAATGGGGAGATAAGAGGCATGGAGATATCAAATTTTGGTTTCCAGTCCATATAGGTCATAAAAAAGAGAATTTGACAACTCCGATGGGGGCGCCGCTCTTAGCTAGAAATGATTTCTACTAATAAATACATTGATAAGAACTTTCATCTACCTACGATTGTATACATACTACAAATCCTATGTAAATTGACAGACTGATAATAACTTTCATCTATCTATCAGTGCAGTGGTGGTTATAACCTGTAACATCCAATGTAAATATGGAAGCTCACTTTCTACCGCTTTTGGAAATTGAAAACCTTAATGGAAATGGAAAACATTAATCCAAAGAGAACCACAAATGCAGCAACAACACCTGCCACTACTCCTAGAAAATCATGTTTGAAGCCAAAATAATCTTTCAAAAACTGTTTAACTGTTTCACCATTGTCAAGCACGTCGTCTATATCTCCATATTGTGATGCAACCAGTCCATACAAGGTCCAAGCAACTGGACATATCCAATAATACCATATCCACCACACAGGAATTCGCTGTCATTAGCCAGGCACAGTTTTATTAGCATCGAGCTACGCTCGAAACAAATGTGGCATTTAAGAGGAACTAGTTATATGAAGGCAGTACTTACAGTTCGTGGGACAACAAATCCCGAAAACAGGTTCCACACTCCATAAAATGCAGAGGAAATTATAGTAGCTATGTGGTAATTTGGTGTCACGGCCACAGCCATCATCCCATAAAATGTGAAATATAACAATGAGAAGTACATGAAGTATAGGTACCAAAAGAATTTAGCCGCGGTCCACTCATGTCCCATCATTGAATACACTATGACAGCGTATGCCACAGTTTGTGCAAAAATGTATGGAAGCTCAATTATAATCTGCAGAAAACATGGACGTTGCTTATAGAAACATATATGCATATTGGCTCATTATGAGATGAAGTATGATAGTTGTGTAAATTGATTACCTGCGACAAGGCATATGCTAAGGGTGAATACATTCCAGCCGCTTTTTCTCTGTAGAAGACAGTTCGTTCAACTGAAACTACTGGCTGCACACTACTAGCATTTTGGACTCCAATGAATTGAACAGCACAATACATACAACCCATTGCATTAAACAGGTCCTGCTGATTTTTCCTACAATTTTTATAATAATGTGTTTATATGTAGATAGAAATTACGATAGGTTGAACCTTCAATCAAGAATCAGTCGATGTAGCTTACGTTTTGGAGCCAAGGTCCCAGAACATTGTGCCAAACATGAGGGCTATGATAGTTGTGAACAAAAATCTTACAGCAGTATACGGTGGATTGCGCCAATAGGACAATCTTTGTTTCCAAAAGCATGCCATGTACTGAGAAAAGAATGACTGAGAGTATCTAGATGGGAAATGGAGGTCTCTGGAATCAGGAGGAGGTATGCTTAGTTGTCTAATAAGTTCTTTGTTTCTCCTGAAACACAAGCCAAACAATTGTACAACTTCATATCATATTCTTACTATGTAATCATCGTTACACTGACGAGGCTAGATGAATACAAAATTCCAAATAATTAGATGTGTTTTACTGCCTTGCACTGCTATCAGTCGTGCATTTACAAAAGTACCTACCGATACAGTTCAGAATTTTTGTACACTTTGGAAAAATCAACCCCTAAAGCCTTTTCTTGTGCTGAAGAGCTAACTTCCAACATCCAAGTTGCAGGGTTGTAACCGTCTATAATTTTACTGACTCCTTGGACGTCCTATATGAATTGCAACTTCCATGTCACTAAAAGCATGTGGATTAACACAAAAACTTATTGTTCCATTGCGTATTTATCATTAAGACATACCTCAAAATACTTGACCAAATCACAAGAATGGTAACCTAAAGGCCCTACATAGATCTCTTCCCCTCCACGCTTCATCAACAATAGCTGGAACCTCATGTTCATTGTATTACTGTTAGATAAAAAGGTAAACCATGGGAATATGTCACTTTAATGATATTCCAAAATTTCTCACCTCATCAAAAGCTTCAAATATGTCAATGCTTGGCTGATGAATTGTGAACAACTGTTCTTCCAGTGTCCACAGTGTTCCTAACTGTTCTCATGACAATTGCAGCAGCTCTGGCATCCAGCCCCGAAGTTGGCTCTGTAGTGAATTAAAACCAATTCACTCCCCTTTAGACCTTGTTGTTGATGGACTTTGGACAAGACTCAATGATGGATGAGTCCTTACACACACACACAGAAAATAACCAAGCACAAATGACACAAGTGTTTATAGAGGTTCAGCAAATTTTGCCTACATCCTATTGGTGATCCCCTTGAGAAATTTCACTAATGAAGATAGGTTACAACTTTGGTTTACAACTGAAAACCCCCTTAGAACACTACCCTCACAATCTGTTTCTCTCACACCCTTGCTCAACACCTTGATACACTTGAGAACTCTCTCTTCTACTTGACTCACTAGTTTCCAGCTACTTTGCCTCATTCACTATCTCTTTTGTTTCCTCTTCCATATAATAGACAAGTCTTTGGGCTTGAGAAAAGACTTATTCTTTTCCTCCCACGTTCTCCCCTTGGTTTCCTGACTTGGACCACACATTGGGCAGACAAAAGGCTCTCCATTCATGGCTTCATGTTCAGCCACTCCTTTTAGAATCATAGGGTGGGAACTCCTTGAAACAAGCCAACATCTTTCCTTAATTTGCTCCCTTGGCTTCCCAGCAACTTGCCACCTTTCATTTAAGTCTGAAGTGACTTAAAATATCCTTGCAAGTGGGTAGAAAACGATAGCACACTAAAGAAACTGTTGAGAAACAGTGCTGATTCGAAACAGCACGTGTTGGGCGACCGGTCGCAGGTCATTTGCGACCGGTCGCTTTTGCACAGAGTCTCCAGACTTCGAAATGTCTTCCTGCGACCGGTCGCTCGTCGACTTAGCTTCAGACTTCGAATCTGTGTAGAAACGACCGGTCGCTGGTCCAATACTTTGTATCCTTTAAGCGAGCCAATTTTCCAACAGGCTCATCCATGAATATTATGGAGGGGTTTGCCACTAGTTCAACAGCAATTGTGAGCCTCTTCCGTTGCTCAGTTGAGAGACCATTCACACCCGGCAATCCAACTAGAGCTTGCCTCAAAGGCTTTAGTTCCACAAGCTCCATGACTTCCTCCACGAACATCTGCAATTACTTAGCATTTAGAATTGCTATAGCTGATGAATACTTAAGGTTCTAATTGAGTTATGAAGCTATCCTTCATTATCCAGATAAAAGAGGGTTTGAGGCATCAACCTTTCTTGTTGAAGAATTGACTTCAGGCGGTAGGCGGAGCCAAGCAGAAAAAAGCAAAGACTCATAGACAGTAACATAAGGAGAATGGATATCATTTTGTTCACAATACCCTGAAATTCGAGCAAATGTTTCTTGTTTTTTGGGGTATCCAGAAATTTTGATCTCACCCTCAATATAACCACCAGTTTTCCTACCAGCTAGAACATCCATCAAAGTGGTTTTACCAGCACCACTAACACCCATCAGAGCTGTGAGCACGCCAGGCCTGAAAGCACCACTCACACCCTTTAGTAGCACCAACTTATCCTCACTGACACCCTGGTTCTTCATTTCCTGCAAGTTGAATTAAAATAGTATGTTTCGTTTAACATGACTGTGCTGTTGTAAAAAAGCCAAGACAATAAGCTCTACTTGAATCCTAAAAGTTTAGAGTTGTTAGTTACCTGTGGCATATCAACAGAGTACAAAATGTCATCAAAAGTGAGTGATTGCTGTTGAAAGGGAAGAGTCACTCCTTTTTTCTTATTTGAATGGATCTCGGTGCCAGCCTTGTTCCCTGCATATCAGTTAAACGTATTTAGCTTATGAAAGGATGAATATATAACGTCATAAACTTCTCAATGACACGGCTAACTTTCAAGCATTGTCACCTGCATTTTCAGCTTCATTTGTTTGAGACTCTTCTGATTGACTAGCCTGAGCCTTGTCATAAGCTGCAAAATTATTTGAACAGTGTTAACACATAGGCTCTCACTTTTCAAGTTATGAATTCAAGGGAAAGTACCCACAGTCGAGGTAAGTGAGGGCAAAAACATAAGCCAAGTTGAATAGTAGCATAAATCCTATCAGCGCCCCAACTCCTATCCAATACCAGTATTCGTGTGGAAAAAATCCTCTAGACTTCAAAAATACAATTCCCAATGGTTGTGCTGTATTTGGAAGAACCTTTCATATGGAAGAAGTTCAGACGTTAGAGAGATTACAAGACAATCACAGAAATATTGTTTTACATGGCTAAACCAATAGGTTACATGCTTCCAGCTGTGCCCGAGGAACTCGTTTGCTGCTACTGCATTCTGCCCATACATCAGTGGCGATATCCAGTAAGCCCATTTCCACCATTTTTTTATATCCACTGCAACAAAGAAAAGTGAAAGAAAGAAGCTTTATGGGGACTTTCTTGTGAGGTAAGTTTAGTTTGATGTCAAACTCAAATCATACCTCGTGACAGAACAAAGCCACCATTCACAAAAAGTACCAGTAGTGCAAATGACCCAAATGTGCTAGCAACAATCATATTCCTACCAAGTGCTGCAAGAAGTCGAAATAATCCAGAAGCCATTTGATGAACAAGTACGAATATAAGGTATTGTCTAAACAACCTGCACATGCATAGATTAACAGAACAGAAAGTGAAAAAAAATGTGAACAAATGTTTCCTACACATCTACAAATCCAGGTATATATAATTACCTATTCACATTTGGATCGAAACCAATGACATAGTAGGTGAAGAAAACCCAAATTGCAACTTCTACAAATGAGA